GTCAGTTTCAACCAATGAGAGAAAAGTCTTTTGATGAAAACAAGTTGTGTCTGATGTGAAGACTGAGGAGAAGTGAGTCTCTGCCTGTGATGTGATTAAAATGTATCTTTTGCTTTTTTCAGAACCTAAAATATGTTGTAAACTAATCAATCATATGAAGTGATGTATTCCCATCATAAGTTGTAACCTGAAGTTCAACATGAAGGAGGAGGAATGTATTAAATGATTTTACACATGATCATGTGTGAGTTTATAAAACTCACAAACACAAAATGAGTCTTCTTCCTGTAGATCCCTGTTGTTGACTTTTATCCCTCGAGCACCACAGTATATAATACTTTTTACTTTTTATCTGATTTTTAGAACTTAAAAAGGATATGATTGTGTAACTGAAGTCACTGGTTTTTATTGTTCTTCTCTTGTAATAAAGTTGTTGCCTGCTCAAAATCAGCTCGGCTGCTGTGTGATCTCTGAGTTTGTGTTATTCTGCTGAGTTTTTAAAGGTGTGCACAGAAACACACAGGCTGAGATGGTTTCAGATCTGTCCCCATTCCCTGCCTCTATTTAAATCATAAAACATGAGGTAAAGTTATCATTTTTTAATTTAATTGGTGTATTTTAAGTGTATTTATTTAATTATTGGTCCGTTTATATATTTCTGCTTTTCTTTCTAATTATGTCAGTTTGGGTCCTCCATAGCCCGCGGCTTAGTTTATGCTAACTGCTGAAAGACGTTCTGGGAATTTTTTTTTTTTACAAAAAATTAGCAATTTGTTGAAAAATAACAAATGCTGAAAATAGCAGAAAAGTAGCTGAAAAAGCTGAAGCTAGTACAAGGAAACAGAAAAGCATGTGCTTGTTGAATTAGCAGCTATAATTATCACAAAAAGGTGAATCTGAGAAAGGCTAAAATTATCTGAAAATAGTTAAAAAGTAAATTATAGTAATGAGATGAAAGAAGCATAAAAAAACAAAATTAATAGAAAGAAGCTGCTGGAAGCACAAACTAAATGAATTAGAGTACTGAAAAGAGCAGAGAAAAGGCTAATATTAGCATATAGAACAACCTGAAAGATTGAAGAAGTTGTGATTTGTGTCTTTGTTAATGTTTTATTTTAGTTTTCTGTCTTGTCCTCTGTTCTTCCTCCTGTCTGCCTGTGCTCTAGCCCCGCCCACTCACATCTGATCCTCATGTTTCTCCCCAGGTGTTTCTTGTTTTAGCTCATTAGTTTATATTCTGTTCAGTGTGTTCAGTGTTTGTCAGATCTTGTTAACTGTTTGATGTTGATGTTCCTGTCCAAAGCCCATGTTCTTGTTTGCTGCCACGTCAGAACTTTAGTTTTCTTGTTTTAATAAATCACTTTTGCCACCTCACTCAGTTCTGCATCATGGGGTTGTAATCAGCCAAGCTCAGTCATAACAAAAAGTGTTAAATGCAGAAATGTTTAACTAGTTTGAAGGATTTTAAGAATGTTAAACAATTTTAATAAGAACAAAAATGGCCAAAAAAGCTAAAAATCGATAGCATTTACACAATAACAGATAAGAAGATAAGAAGGGGTTGGTGACATTTGGGGTTGTTATGGTAAAATTTATCTAACAAAGACAGAAATACGTGGTCCAAGAATGAAGGTACTCTGTGAGATGATCAGCTGAGTTTTATTGCAACAACAGGAAACACAGAGCAACCTGGTCTGTCTTTGTGCCTCTGCTTATCTCTGTCACTGTCTCTCCACACTACTGTTGAACTGTTGAACACTGTGTCTTGAGA